AGAGTAGAGTAGAATTGGAATTGGGAATGGAATAGAACAGAAAATATGGAATGGAATAGAATAGGAATAGGAACAGGAACAAAACAAGAACAGAACATAGAGTAGGTAGAGTAGAGTAGAATTGGAATTGGGAATGGAATAGAACAGAAAATATGGAATGGAATGGAATAGGAATAGGAACAGGAACAAAACAAGAACAGAAGGTAGAGTAGAGTAGAATTGGAATTGGAATGGATAGAATAGAAGATATGGAATGGAATAGAATAGGAATGGAAATAGGAATAGGAACAAAATAAGAACAGAACAGAACATAGAATAGAATAGAATTAGGAATAGGAACAGAACCAGAACAAGAACAGAACATAGAATAGAATTTGGAACAGGAACAAAACAGGAACAGAACAAGAACAGAACAAGAACAGAACATAGAATAGAATAGAATTAGGAACAGAAACAGGAACAAAACAGGAACAGAACATAGAATAGAATTAGGAATAGGAATAGGAACAAAACAGGAACAAAACAGAATATAGAGTAGAATGGAATAGAACAGAACAGAACATAGGAATAGAGCATAGGAATAGAATAGAATAGGAGTAGAGTGGAATGAAATAGAATAGAATAGAATAGAATAGAATACACTAACAGAGTATAATAGAACTGTAGGGGACCTTAGAGGTCTTCTAGTCCAGCCCTCTATGACTGGACTGTTTCTTCTTAAAAACCTCCAGTGATGGAGCACCCACAACTTCTGGTGGCAAGCTGTCCCACTGGTTAATTGAGACTCTTTCCATTTTGTGACCTTCTGACAACTGCAGGGATTCACTTAAAAACCCGTGGCAAGAAAGGTCATACAATGTAGGGCAAAACTCGCTTAACAACTGTCTTGCTGAGCAATGGAAATTTTGGGCTCAACGGTGGTCGTATGTCGAGGACCACCTGTCACTCAAGTGTCCTTTGTTCCTCGCCGTTTCCTTTTTGTTGTCCTCAAGGTCTGTGTGATGAACGCATCTCAACGGCTCCCCACCCAGCTCAACGGAGTTCCATGCACGATTTGGTGTCTCCGGTGCCGTCTCTTTTCCGGGCCCTCCTGGCGCTCTCCAACAATCACCCGGCTCTCGGCTGGAGCATCGCGACTCTGCCGTTAGAAGAGGAACTTCGGCAAAACCACGTGGATACTGGCCACCTTCTGCTGGGACCACATACAGGTATGCCCAGAGTGGGTGGTTCATAGGGAATAACAGAGTTGGAAGGGAACTTGGAGGTCTTCTAGTCCAACCCCCTGCTCAAGCCGGAAACCCTGTAACCATTTCAGCCAAATGGCTCTCCAGTCTCTTCTTAAAAGCCTCCAGTGGTTGGAGCACCCACAACTTCTGGTGGCAAACTGTTCCACTGGTTAATTGTTCTCCCTGTTAGGAAGTTTCTCCTTAATTCCAGCTGGATTCTCTCCTTGATTAGCTTCCATCCCTTGTTTCCAATATATCCCCCAGTATACTGAAGTGACTGTTTCTTGATCTTCTTTCTAACTTTCACCGGGGAAAATTGGGAAATAACAGAAAAACAGAATAACAAGAGTTGGAAGGGATCTTGGAGGTCCTCTAGCCCAACCTCCTGTTCAAGTAGGGAACCTGTTCTGACCCCCCTCCTCCGTCCAGTAAACATCTCCGGAGGTTTTTAAAGACGAGATTGGACCACCCTTTGGCTTGAAATGGGATAAGGTTTCCTGCTTGAGCCGGGGTTGGACTAGAAGACCTCCAAGGTCCCTGGCAACTCTGTGCTTCGGTTATCAACCATTCTCGTTGACAGACCTGGCCCTCCCGGATCCCGACACCGCCAAGGGCCCGAATGCGACGGCGCCAGCTTGCCAGTCCATTTACTTCAACGACTGCCTGTCCATGAGCCGTTGCCGTGCCGCCTGCCAGTCGGTGGGCGCCTGGCGTTACCGGTGGTTTCACAGCGCCTGCTGCCAATGCTTGGGGCCGGATTGCCAGGGCTACGGAAGTGCCCACGCGAATTGCTCCCGTTGCCAGGACTGAGCGGTGTTGCTTTGGCCTTCCTTGACTCGCAGAGCGTCGCGTCGCGCCCCCCCCCTCCGCTTTTCCGCCCAGCCTCCCCGGTAAAAACCGCATTGCAGCCATGACAGGGAGTCCTCGACTGACAAGGGAGCGCAACCTTTCCGTTGTTAAGCGAGGCGTTTGCGAAGTGTGCTTGGCCCAATTCGACCAGCTTGTTCAGTGAACTCGCCGCGGTCGATAAGTTAGTAACGCGGTTGTTAAGCGAATCTTGTCAGAAGGGTTAGGGATGACCTTGGGACACAGCCGGCGTCGTAAGTATGAATCGGCTGCCAAGCGTCTGAATTTTGATCCCAGGGTCATGGGCTTGTTACGAAGGTCGTAAGTGTGAAACACGGCCCTCAGTCACTTTTTTTCCAGTGCCGTCGTACCTTTGAATGGTTACTAAATGAACTGCTGTGAGTCGAGGACTTCGCTGTATGGCTTCCTGCTTCCGCCTGCTTCCAAACCCAGATATTTTCAGCAGCGAGAACAAGTTTAGGGGGCCACAGAAGAAGACCCCCTGCCCAGCCCAGTCTTTCCCTTTGCAGCTGGGGGGGGGGGGTCCATCTTTCTTGGGATCTCACCTGGGACATTTTTCCTTCCTCCCCCCCCTCCCAAGTTTTCCTGAAATTAGCCCTGTGCACGAATCCTCAAATTCTTTCTTTTAATGATGCAAATATCTCTGTAGTATTTTGTAGTAATAAAAATAATGGGGGAAAACAGGGTTGTCTGAAAAGTATCGGAGGCCGGGGCACGACAAAACCGCGGTCCACTAAAGCGCGCCCGATTAAACCGCGTCGCTGACGTCATCAGCAGCGCGACAACAGCGACCGCGGAGAAAAAAGGGCGCTTTAAAAAACGCTTTGAAAGCAAGCCGATTCAAGTTAAGGTAAGGGTTAGGGTTAGGGTTAGGGTTAGGGTTAGGG